ACAATTCCCCAACAAAGGTTCTAAAGAACATGTTTCTGGAGCCCTTACATGCCAAACATACTTAAGTTTCCCGCCAAATCTCTTCTTCTTCTCCCCTTAAACGGAAAATTAGGAGTTGACACTGCCCTCTAACAACTGGGAAAGGAATTTCCCCAGTGACAGTGACTGCATACTGTCACAAGGTGTCAGCATTATCTAAGAGTCTAGAGAAAATGGTGAACTCAAATGACAGAGAGATGCCCATTACTCACCCACATCCCTGTCCTAAAATCCAAACATCAAAGGGCGCCACAAAATGGAAATATCATGAATATATTCAACAGAAAAAAAATAGATGTACACATGGCTTCCTTTGTGGCCAAACTAGACATAGAGATGTGGGGTGTCCCAAGCAGTCCAGGTAGGGAAACTGAGTAAGGTCACTGGAAAGGGACAGCCTGAAACCTGAAACATCCAATTGTCCTACTGTGGTCTAAGTGGCAGTGAAATAAACCACCAGCATCTAGCGTCCTTCCTGAGCTCGGGGTGGCACAGGCCGTCCTACATATATATATGGTGAGGTCCAAAATCACACACTAACACGCCACCACTACATCAGTGTTACTGCAGTGCTGAGAATGATCCACCACCCAAATAATACCTGCTCTGTGAGGGGCCATGGGGGTCCTGACTACTAGCAGGTGCACTTTGTAGTTCTACAATCTGTTTCTCTGCATACTTTGTTCGCCCCCTTTCACCCTGTTCTTCAGTGGTCAGGACCACCCCAGAGCACGTATTATTTGGGTGCTGGATCATTCTCAGCACTGCAGTAACACTGACGTGGTGGTGCTGTGTTAGTGTGTGTTGTGCTGGTACAAGTGGATCAGACACAGCAGTGCTGCTGGAGTTTTTAAGCACTGTGTCCACTCACTGTCCACTCTATTAGACACTCCTACCTTGTTAGTCCACCTTGTAGATGTAAAGTCAGAGATGCTCATCTGCTGCTGCACAGTTTGTGTTGGTCATCCTCTAGTCCTTTATCAGTGGTCACAGGACACTGCCCACAGGACGCTGTTGGCTGGATGTTTTTGGTTGGCGGACTATTCTCAGTCCAGCAGTGACACTGAGGTGTTTAAAAACTCCAGCAGCACTGCTGTGTCTGATCCACTCAGACTAGTGCACAAACACTAACACACCACTACCATGTCAGTGTTACTGCAGTGCTGAGAATGATCCACCACCCAAATAGCACCTGCTCTGTGAGGGTCCATGGGGGTCCTGACCACTGAAGAACAGGGTAAAAAGGGGGCTAACAAAGTACGCAGAGAAACAGATGGACTACAGTCTGTAACTGCAGAACTACAAAGTGCACCTATATAGTAATAGGAGCTGATAAAATGGACAATCGCGTAGAAACAAGGAGGTGGTCATAATGTTATGCTTGATCGATGTGTATATATATATATATATATATATATATATATATATATATATATATATATATATATATATATAATAACTGTGTAATATTACTTCTCTGTAATATTAATTTCCCCAGTACTATCTTCTCTCTGTATTAATATTAATATTAATAATTAAATCAGGTCAAAGCATTGACCCAATTGTCAGGAGATCATGAGATCAATTCCTGTGATGCCACAGTCATCCATAGAATTAGGAAGAGTACGATAAAAAAATAAAATACTGAAAGTGCGTTTGCCAGGTGATGACATGCGGTGAAGGCAAAATAGATAACCGCCCCTGGAGGAATATGTGCAGCATTGAGTGAGTCATCACTTGAATTATGTGGTCAAACAAGATCATACAAAGTAAAAACCACTGCAATAAATCACTAATGTGAATGTGGAGAACAAGGAAACTGAATAACCCATAGTTGCTCAATGTACCAAAGACGTAAATATGAACTAATCACACAACACGACCTTCATTTACTGAACTGGACTAAAGAACAAATATGATTTTGGCTCAATCATTTTCACTAATTTTCCCCTTTAGTTAATTGCAAAGGCCTGTTATATGTTCTCATGTTAATAAATAAATGTTTAATCTATAGTTTTTTTAGTTTCCTCTGCTGGTTTACTCACTGTCCCACCTTCCAAACTACAAGGGTACGGTGATCGTGCTTTCTCTAGGCTGTCTCCCTGACTCTGGAACTCTCTTCCCTCACATATTCAACAGGCCAACTCTGTCTCCACTTTTAAATCTCTTTTCTATTGCTTATAACTGTTCTCAATCCTAAACCAGCACTTTGCCAAGTCCTGCTATATTTTGCTTGTGATGTTATGACTTCATATTCTCATGTTTGTCTTTACTGTTCTGTATTTCGAAAACCTGAAAGTGTCTTTGAGTTCTTGAAAAGCGCTATATAAGTATAATGTATTATTATTATCATTATTATTATTATTATTATTATTAACTATACTACTCATGATGAAGACTTGAGTAGTTACTGATATCTCAATTTCCCTGTATTTGTTTTTGTGTCCCCTCAAGTCAAGTGGAAAATATACTTACATTATCAGTTAACAATTCCAAATTATAATTACAAAACAGGAATCAATTCAGTTTTATTTTTTCACTTAAATGAGTCTTTCACACTTCACAGCTCATCCAAAGACAGGTTGTTTAGGGATCCAAGAATGGGTTTTCATGACGCTCCAAAAAAATATCCCTTTTGGCCCTGCTAGATCTGCCCCAGACAACTGTAAGTGCTATTACTGTAAAATAGAAGCATCTAGGAGCAACAACCATTTACCATTTCCATTCACAGCATACACATGAGAACTTCACTGGACATTCACATCATGTGACATATCATTTTCCTGTAATAACATGTTGCATGGATGTGTAATGCATTGTTCCTGTATGAGAGATATACAATGGATGCCATGTTTTTCTCGAATTAAATGTAAAATTAAGCCTGAAACTATGTAACAATGTATTTGTAAGACATAACAGTTGTATGATTTGGACATGATATGAACCAAGCCTAGTGAGAGTGGTCAGATACGAAAATCAGCACAAACACCTCCCACGTGGAGCAAGAATCAAACAGCATTGAGGAACAGTCGTGACAGGGACTGGGAAACATCTCATTTCTAAACTCCAACCAAATTTCTAAACCAACCAAACACTGATGCTATTGGCTGAAGCTCTCAGTCCCAAACCTGAAGAACATTGAAATATAAATATGTAAAGCTTTTCTCTGCTATTCTCCTCAGTATCAGCATGGTGATACGTCTCGAGATGCTGTAGAATCAAAATAGGTGTGAATTTCAGATATACAAAATTATCATTGTTGTATGCCATCTTTTTATGGTGTGTTAACTACTCATTTACATTTTGGCATTTTGGCAGATGCTCTTATCCTGAGCCAGTTACAATTTTGATCATTTTCTTTACACAGGTAGGCGAAGGCTGTGTTAGGAGTCTTGCCCAAGGACTCTTATTGGTATAGTGTAGGGTGCTTACCTACACTAGGAACCCTGGTCTACAGCATAGAAGGCAGAGGTGTAACCCACGACACTATACTAACCTACTACTATTTCTATTTTTCATTCAGACAGTTTGATTTGATTTCACCTAAAGAGATCCACATTTCTTAGATTTCTCACATTGGTCCGATTGGTTTATCTTTGCGTACTATTGTCCTTTTCTATTTCTATATACATCCAGCACTACTTTTTTACTTTTTTACCAATCGTGAATGTTTTACCAGTATATGTTTATGTCACATCACAGAAGTTCTAAAAGATAAGAACTCCACCAACTTAGAGTATTGAACTTCCTTCCAACAATGAAACAATCATTACTATTGTAATATTATAATATACACCAATCAGGCATAAAATTATGACCATCTCCTTGTTTCTACGCTCATTGTCCACTTTATCAGCTCCACTTACTATATAGGTGCACTTTGTAGTTCTACAATTACAGACTGTAGTCCATCTGTTTCTCTGCATACTTTGTTAGCCCCCTTTTACCCTGTTCTTCAGTGGACAGGACCCTCATGGACACTTTCAGAGCAGGTATTATTTGGGTGGTGGATCATTTTTAGCACTGCAGTAACACTGATGTGGTGGTGGTGTGTTAGTGTGTGTTGTGCTGGTACGAGTGGATCAGACACAGCAGTGCTGCTGGAGTTTTTAAACACTGTGTCCACCCACTGTCCACTGTGTCCACTCACTGTCCAATATTATAACATACCTACTGTTGTTAACTGCCTTCATAGGGTTAACTCAAGTGAAGTGTACCTCATTTGGAGACTATTTAGTCCTGTTGGGCTGGCACCCCATTTATTAAAGTAATTCATATTATTTTCCTATAATACTTATGCTATATTACTAAAAAAATCTGTCATGACAACTCAGAACAACATATGATATCTGCCATGGCGTGTTTATGGCATGTGCAGTGGACTCAAAAACAAGGCCTTTAAATATTCTGATGCTGTAGGTTTAATGAGAAGAAAAACATCGATCAGCAAAATACATAGAAATACATATTTGGAAGGACAATGGCTTGTGGCTTGCTCTGTGCTTTACAGTCCTCTCTGAGATTTCCAAGTAATAAAATACAATTCCAAGTAATAAATACACTTAAATCCCTAAATCTTTAAAGTGTTTAAAGATTTAAAGATTATTAATAAAGAACTTTAAAGATTATTAATAAAGAAAATTAAATGAAAAGAGTAATAAAATACAGTGTGCACTTCAAAGTCTGTAAGTCTGTAAAGCCACTTGAAGAAGGTCTGTACAAGCAAAAGACACAGAACAATCGCTGGTTGAAACAGATCAGTAGCCGTTCACTTGGACTGGTTTCTGACTGTCTGTGAACAGAAAGAAAATGTGAGGTTATAACAGCCTTCCTAAAACAGCATGGCAAGTTTTTTCAACATGCATCTGCATGAATTTGCACTTGCAAAAACAAACAGGGATCATCCAATCTGACTAAAAAGGAAGCATTTTATGTCAAGTATCTGTAGTGTAAATATCCACCTGTGTCCCTGATAGAGTTAATGGGCCCTACAGAGATGGAGGCACTGTCATGGAAGTCCACGCTCCGAGTTCTCCTGTGGAATCCAGACTTACACTGCTGTAAGACATAAACCAGACAAACACGCAGTATAAGACTGAGATTAACAACGAGATATAATATGCAGATTAATGCACACAAGCTATACATGATTTCTGAAGGATCAACATATATCTTCCATATTTTAGACCTTAAACGTTTTGATACTTTTTCTGCAAAACTCACTGCTGTGCAGTTGTTGCTCTGCAAGAGGCAGAGGTGAATGTTGCAGTGAAAGAAGACTTCGGAGGCGTCCTTAAAGTTAAACATCCTGAAAGCGAAACGACTGGAGGTGGAGATGCCATTCTGAACTATTTGGACAGTTCCGTCTTTTGGATTGGGGCACCTGTGCAAACAAATTTGGAACATTTTTCGAACTCATAGAAAATGTGTGATTAGATTTCTGGGCTAGTAGATGTATCTTGTCAAGTCATGGTGTTCTGAGTTTTAAAACAAAACACCAACACCATCTTACCCTCTAATAATAAGATCCCAGTGGAGATAGTAGTCGGGGTCATTGACAGGTGTCGCCCAGCATGAGTCTAGCAGCAGGGCAATCTGGCGGCTGTCCACTCCCTCTGCTTCCACGCTCACATAGAGTGGTTGGTTCACTTTCACAATCACTTTGCCTTGGAGAGGTTGGGAAAAGCCAGAGTCCTGATAGGGAATCATCTTGACCCGGTACATTCCCTGGCCAGGAGGAAGTTGCTTGTGTATAATGCTGTGAAAGAGTCAAACTACTGACAGATCAGAAATGATGAGCTTATACAAAACAGCATATTCACAGAAACCATATAATGATTTAAAAAAAATTGGACTTCAGAGATTTAAGACCCAGTGGCCCTTGACTTAAGCCCACCTCATTATAGCTTTAATGTTCATGGAGACATTCTTGGTAAGTGAATAGACACAAGAGAAGGACAGGTTGAGCCGTTTTTCTCTGAGAATAGTCCCAGCTGTTGAGTCCACCTGGATAAAGTTCTCATATATCAAATGGGTGCCGTTGGCCTGTTGACAGAAGAAAGAGCATGAAAATGTAGACGTTTTATCAACTGCAACTGAGATATCCTCATTTTAAAAATGTGCTTTGTATATTTATGGTAAGTGCGATCTCATGGTATAATGGCTACATATTACTAACCTGATTAGACGCAATCCATTCGCTCCCATTTGTATTTTTATTGGTCGGAAATAAGGGGAGTAACAGTCAACACCCACCAGTGTAAGTGTACTTTTCAACTCGTTTGTGTCAAAAAATGACGCAAAATGCAAAACAGTATTTTACCCCTGATTACTCACAGTAAAATTTTGTAGACTTTTTCTATAACTCCACTAAAACATAATAAGCTATCTTCTCCAAATGCTAAATAAATATAACCGATTTGATTATTTTTCCAAACCAAATAAGGAAAAAACTCAGTGTCGTGGCTCAGACAGCTGCTGCGTCACTTTGCACAGAACATTGGGTTTAATAGAATCAGTGGAACAATGTAAGTGATTAAAACTCATTGTGCTGATTCTTTGGAAACACTGATCTGTTTCTTGACAGTTGTAGCCAACTTATCGAGATACAAAAAACTGGTTATTTTTCTGATTTTGTGTATTATTTCAATGTTTCTTTGTTTAATTTTAAAATTTTGTTTATTTCAATGTAATTATTTAATAATTCAATTACTGAATTGTAAAGTGCTACATAATGATAATAATAATAATAATATGACAGCAGTAATTATTTCATTCATTATTTGCGTTGTCAATTTTTCTACTAATAATATTAACTATAAATAATATTAATAAAAATAGCTACACCAACAACGTTATTTATTTTTTATTTACTACTTATTATTTATTATTTATAATAATATTTTGAAGGAAGGTGCACAAGAGGTTTGTAAGGCAATGATGAGAGATGACTTGATCTGATTGGCTGTTGATAATGTACATACTCCAACTCCGCCCTTATTAAGAATCCACAATGCTGGTTAGAAAAAAACTAAAAATGCACAAGCTTCCTTGCTGCGGTTTTACGGCTGTAGCTTTTGACCTAAATGGGTTTTAAGAGGAATGGCAACTGAAAATGCAATTTAGCTCCAGGCTCATTTTATGCAGCCGACAAACAGGACTATGCGGATTAACCGGATACAATCACTTGTTTCACTATGAATGCTTTACCCGAAGGTTCGTCCCACAGATGTGGTCATCACTATCAAAAAAGAACTCCACTCTGCCATTCTTAATGGTTCCTCTGCAGCTGGGGTCATTGAGGTGGAGCTTGCCTGCAGAGAAGCCGTCTTCAAAGAGCTGACAGCGAGACAGAGACACGGTGCCCGAGCTGCTCTCACAGGTCTTCCTAGCGTCTGAGAGAAAAACGATATCAGATCATTTGGGTCCTGTAGAAACTGGCCCAGCCTGTATGAATGTACAATCATGATGTTGTTTTGTACCATAGATGTCAGGATTTGATCTGTTCTGATTCTCATTACAGAGGCAGCCATAGATCTTGTTTCTCTTTCCACACTTCTCATTCACAGTGCAGGTCAGCCCCTTGCAGTGATCAACCTCTGCACAAAGCAAAAAGAAAGGAGGTGAGCATGGTAGATGTGTGCTGAAAGTCTTGAACAGCCTTACTTGATGTCCCATCAACAACCAGCCAATTTTTCCTTTTCAATGTTGGAAGTGAAATGAGCTCTATGTTGGTGTGACGTCCAGGCAACCTGCTTGGCCCCTTCTGGTTGCTACGAGGGGCCTGAGAGCCAGGAATGAGTAATTAGGGCTGAGCAGTTGCAGCTGAGAGCACCCTACTTAAGGAGTGCTACACGCTGCTCGCTGCTCAGTCTTGAGTCCACACTGCTACACGCAGCTTTTTCTGACTCGGTAATCTCAATATCTGTCTCGAGTTTCAGGTCTTTACTTTTCTCTAGTTCTCACCACAAAATAACTTCCAAGGTTCTCCCCAATTTAGTTGTATACAATTCCATCCATTAGATAGGACTCCCCGATCACACAATACCACCAGCACTAGAAGGATGAAGGTAAACACAAGCTTACTCCAAGTCATGTGAAGCCAGCCACCACATCCACCAGTTCTGTTACGTCAGCAAAGAGATGCCTGTACTGCCTAGCATCACACTTAATGATGGTGGGAGAGGTAGGACCATCCTACCCAAGTGTGCTATCTTGGAATCTCAGTGACAGATGGCTGTAGCATCACTATCAAACTTGTGATCTCCTGATAATAGGTCCAACGCTTCAGACAGCTGCACCACTCGGGAAACCCAGGTTGCCTGTTGTTATAGTCTTAAACTTGGGTCGAGTTTAGTTGAGATGGGAATCGGCTGTGATTGGTCTATTTATATATACACGTAATCAGCTGTTTTTTCTCGATAGCCATAGCTGAAGTTAGATATGTCACCCTACCAGTAATGCTGGTTGATGTAGGGGTGGAGGTTGTACTTGTAGGAACATCAGTTGATGTAGTGGTGGAAGTTGTACTTGTGGGAACATCAGTTGTTTTTTCGTTGCTGTCGTCTGAAAGTAAAGTAATAGGAAAGTGATCAAATAGTATTTGATGAACTTATTGGAGGTATTAGAGTTGAATGTTGTGGAAGTAGAGAAAACAGTTTATATGTAGCATATTTAAAAATGTATACAAATAAATTTGACTCAGCAAATGAAAGTTAATAATTATAAAATTGTCACTTATGCATTAATAAATGCTACCATTTGAATAAACTGTTTCTTAATCATTAATTAACCATCATTAGCTGGTCTACACAAGTGTTTGTCTCTAGTATTATTCATTATTTAGTCTCTGTATATAAAGGAGTAACTTTATAATGTATTTATATCTGAAACAATGGAGTCAAGAATAAAACAAACAAATTAATTTTATATGTATGGTACTTACACCTGTCATAAAATAGGTGTCAGGAGCTTCACTGATCATGAGATTCAGGCAAAGTTTGTATTGTTTATAAGGTATCATGCCAAGTTAAAGCAGTAGATTGAAATTAGTATCTGGTTAAAATAGTTTCACGTTCAGCACTGGAATGTGGGCAATTGCGGTAAAACGATGGTATCTGACCACAGGTATGTACATTTATAAATATATCTTTGATTCTTTACTTTCGAATTAAGATGGAAAATTATGCTGGAGTTCTTGTCCTACCAGTACTGCTGGTTGATGTAGTGGTGGAGGTTGTGCTTGTAGGAACATCAGTTGATGTTGTGGTGGAGGCTGTAGTTGTAGGAACCTCAGGTGATATTTCAGTGCTAACATCTGAGATAAAGTATTAGGCAAATTATAAGAGTATTTGATGTAGTTATCAGAGGTTCACCACATTCACCTTCACCATTCACCACATTCAGAAAATTCGAGTTTTGTAGTGGAGTTTACTTGTAGACATGTTGTGGAAACAGAGAATAGACTTGACATAAAATAAATTTAATACCATATACAATCTCTAAAATTCCCTCATTTTATTGAATAGTCAACAGATTTGAATCTGATGAGTAAAGCTGTGGAATTTCTATATAATATGTAATGTGTTTTTTTCAGTGTCAAGCCTTCACAAGTACATTTCTTAACACTCAAAACTACCAAGCTATGATTTTTATTATTTGAAGGTCTATTACTGAAAAAAAAACCACAATAGATTGGAGACAATAGAATTTTATATTTAGAGTCTTCTCCTACCTGTGAAGCTGCTTGATGTAGCAGTGGAGGGTGTACTTGTAGGAACATCAGTTGATATAGTGGTGGAAGTTGTACTTGTGGGAACATCAGTTGTTGTTTCGGTGCTGTCGTCTGAAAGTAAAGTATAGGAAAGTGATCAAATAGTATTTGATGTACTTATTGGAGGTATTAGAGTTGAATGTTGTGGAAGTAGAGAAAATTGTGTATATAAAGCAAATTAAAAACTTCATAAAAACTTTATACAAATAAATTTGACTCAGCAAATGAAAGTTAATAATTATAAATTTGTCACTTATACATTAATCAATGCCACCATTTGAATAAACTGTTTCTTAATGATTAATTAACCATTATTAGCTGGTCTGCACATGTGTTTGTCTACAGTATTATTCATTATTTAGTCTCTGTATATAAAGGAGCAACTTTGTAATGTATTTATACCTGAAACAATGGAGTCGAAAATAAAACATACAAATTAATTTTATATGTATGGTACTTACACCTGTCATTAAAAAAAAGTGTCAGGAGCATCACTCATCGTGAGATTCAGGCAAAGTTTGTATTGTTTATAAGGTATCATATCAAGTTAAAGAAGTGGATTAAAATTAGCATCTGGTTAAAATAGTTTCACTTTCAGCACTGGAATGTTGGCAATTGCGGTAAAACGATGGTATCTGACCACAGGTATGTACATTTATAAATATATCTTTGATTCTTTACTTTCGAATTAAGTTGGAAAATTATGCTGGAGTTCTTGTCCTACCAGAACTGCTGGTTGATGTAATGGTGGAGGTTGTGCTTGTAGGAACATCAGTTGATATTTCCGTGCTAACATCTAAAATAAAGTATTAGGCAAATTATAAGAGTATTTGATGTAGTTATCAGAGGTTCACCACATTCACATTCACCAATCACCGCCTTCAGAGAATTCTAGTTTTATAGCTGGAGTTTACTTGTAGGCATGTTGTGGAAATAGAGAATAGACTTGACATAAAATAAATTTAATATCATATACAATCTCTAAAATTCCCTCATTTTATTGAATAGTCAACAGATTTGAATCTGATAAGTAAAGCTGTGGAATTTCTATATAATATGTAATGTGTTTTTTTCAGTGTCAAGCCTTCACAAGTATATTTCTTAACACTCAAAACTACCAAGCTATGATTTTTATTACTTGAAGGTCTATTACTGAAAAAAAAAACACAATAGATTGGAGACAGTGGAATTTTATATTTAGAGTCTTCTCCTACCTGTAAAGCTGCTTGATGTAGCAGTGGAGGGTGTACTTGTAGCAACATCAGTTGATATAGTGGTGGAGGTCGTTGTAGGATCATCAGTTGATATAGTGGTGGCGGTCGTTGTAGGATCATCAGTTGATATAGTGGTGGAGGTCGTTGTAGGATCATCAGTTGATATAGTGGTGGAGGTCGTTGTTGGATCATCAGTTGATATAGTGGTGGAGGTCGTTGTAGGATCATCAGTTGATATAGTGGTGGAGGTCGTTGTTGGATCATCAGTTGATATAGTGGTGGAGGTCGTTGTTGGATCATCAGTTGATATAGTGGTGTAGGTCGTTGTAGGATCATCAGTTGATATAGTGGTGGAGGTCGTTGTTGGATCATCAGTTGATATAGTGGTGGAGGTCGTTGTTGGATCATCAGTTGATATAGTGGTGGAGGTCGTTGTAGGATCATCAGTTGATATAGTGGTGGAGGTCGTTGTTGGATCATCAGTTGATATAGTGGTGGAGGTCGTTGTAGGATCATCAGTTGATATAGTGGTGGAGGTCGTTGTAGGATCATCAGTTGATATAGTGGTGGAGGTCATTGTTGGATCATCAGTTGATATAGTGGTGGAGGTCGTTGTTGGATCATCAGTTGATATAGTGGTGGAGGTCGTTGTTGGATCATCAGTTGATATAGTGGTGGAGGTCGTTGTAGGATCATCAGTTGATATAGTGGTGGAGGTCGTTGTAGGATCATCAGTTGATATAGTGGTGGAGGTCGTTGTTGGATCATCAGTTGATATAGTGGTGGAGGTCGTTGTTGGATCATCAGTTGATATAGTGGTGGAGGTCGTTGTAGGATCATCAGTTGATATAGTGGTGGCGGTCGTTGTAGGATCATCAGTTGATATAGTGGTGGAGGTCGTTGTTGGATCATCAGTTGATATAGTGGTGGAGGTCGTTGTAGGATCATCAGTTGATATAGTGGTGGAGGTCGTTGTAGGATCATCAGTTGATATAGTGGTGGTCGTTGTAGGATCATCAGTTGATATAGTGGTGGAGGTCGTTGTTGGATCATCAGTTGATATAGTGGTGGAGGTCGTTGTAGGATCATCAGTTGATATAGTGGTGGAGGTCGTTGTTGGATCATCAGTTGATATAGTGGTGGAGGTCGTTGTTGGATCATCAGTTGATATAGTGGTGGAGGTCGTTGTAGGATCATCAGTTGATATAGTGGTGGAGGTCGTTGTTGGATCATCAGTTGATATAGTGGTGGAGGTCGTTGTAGGATCATCAGTTGATATAGTGGTGAAAGTTGTACTTGTGGGAACATCAGTTGTTGTTTCGGTGCTGTCGTCTGAAAGTAAAGTATAGGAAAGTGATCAAACAGTATTTGATGTACTTATTGGAGGTATTAGAGTTGAATGTTGTGGAAGTAGAGAAAATTGTGTATATAAAGCAAATTAAAAACTTCATAAAAACTTTATACAAATAAATTTGTCTCAGCAAATGAAAGTTAATAATTATAAATTTGTCACTTATACGTTAATCAATGCCACCATTTGAATAAACTGTTTCTTATTGATTTATTAACCATTATTAGCTGGTCTGCACATGTGTTTGTCTATTGTATTTGTATTTATAACTGAAACAATGGAGTCGAAAATAAAATTTTATATGTATGGTACTTACACCTGTCATTAAAAAAAGTGTCAGGAGCTTCACTGATTGTGAGATTCAGGCAACGTTTGTATTGTTTATAAGGTATCATATCAAGTTAAAGAAGTGGATTGAAATTAGTATCTGGTTAAAATAGTTTCACTTTTAGCACTGGAATGTTGGCAATTGCGGTAAAACGATGGTATCTGACCACAGGTATGTACATTTATAAATATATCTTTGATTCTTTACTTTCGAATTAAGTTGGAAAATTATGCTGGAGTTCTTGTCCTACCAGAACTGCTGGTTGATGTAGTGGTGGAGGTTGTGCTTGTAGGAACATCAGTTGATGTTGTGGTGGAGGCTGTAGTTGTAGGAACCTCAGTTGATATTTCAGTGCTAACATCTGAGATAAAGTATTAGGCAAATTATAATTTGATGTAGTTATCAGAGGTTCAGCACATTCACCATTCACCGCCTTCAGAGAATTCTAGTTTTATAGCTGGAGTTTACTTGTAGGCATGTTGTGGAAATGGAGAATAGACTTGACATAAAATAAATTTAATATCATATACAATCTCTAAAATTCCCTTATTTTATTGAATAGTCAACAGATTTGAATCTGATAAGTAAAGCTGTGGAATTTCTATATAATATGTAATGTGTTTTTTTCGGTGTCAAGCCTTCACAAGTACATTTCTTAACACTCAAAACTACCAAGCTATGATTTTTATTACTTGAAGGTCTATTACTGAAAAAAAAACACAATAGATTGGACACAATAGAATTTTATATTTAGAGTCTTCTCCTACCCGTAAAGCTGCTTGGTGTAGCAGAGGGGGGTGTACTTGTAGGAATATCAGTTGATGTGGTGGTGGAGGTTGTTGTAGGAACATCAGTTGATGTAGTGGTGGAGGTTGTAGTAGGAACATCAGTTGATGTAGTGGTGGAGGTTGTAGTAGGAACATCAGTTGATGTAGTGTTGGAGGTAGTACTAGTAGTTGTTGTGGTTTCGATGGCTGAAAATTAGTATTAGAAAGTATCACAAAGGTTTAAATGTATTTATTGGACATTTCACATTTAGTTCAGAGGATTCTAGCTGTGCAGCAGAGTTTGCTTGTTGAGGTTCAGTGAAAATCAAGAATTAACATATTTTGATATGTTTTATGTTAATAAACTTTTAAACTAAAATAAATAGTTTTTGAACAGCAATTTTCAGAAATATTTTCTTTAATTTAATTTTTGATGTAAGTTTTTCTCTGTGGAAAATGTATTAACTTGTTTTCACCTAGAAAGTCAACAAATCATGTTTTTTGGCCCGGCAAGTTCAAACATTTTATCTGACTGTATTGCTAAACCAAAGTGATGTTTGTTTGTTAATGAAAGTTCACCTTGAGTCTGTGTTTGAGGCCCTTCAGAATTAAATATAATGGAAAAAATATGAAGACTTATTATTGAGTCACCAAATTCAGTTGTACTAGTTGTTACAGAATTCCTTGTTTGACCTTCAAAATCATATAAAATATTATTGACAGGTCAACACATTTTAATGAGATTGTTATCACATTTCAGTGGTTATGTTTTTAATAATTAATGTGAGTTGGTTCAATGCTAAGCTTTGACAGGTATGTTCATATGGACTTAAAAATGATTGCTCTTGGGCATTACATATCACCAATGACATAACTTTAATTCAGATGATTTTGTGTGTGTGTGTGTGTGTGTTTGTAAATCTAAGCAGGAGCTCTTTTCCTACCAGCAGCTCTTCTTCGTGTAGCGGAGGAAGTCTTAGTCTGAGGAACAGTATTTTAATTTAAATAGGACTTTTGGTTCAGTTTATAATGTGCCCAAAAATCTGAGAATGTTTTGGATAGTTGTACTGGATTTGTACAGCTTCATAACAACAACTACACGGATGTTTTTGTCCACAACAGGGAACTTGGTACAATCTGTAGGTAAATTCCATAAATTATTTAAATGTTTACAATATATATTATATTTAATATATTATATTTAATTAGCTCAATAAAGACAGACAGAACTTGTTAGGCAAAGTCTATATCATGAGTCATATGAAGTGAAAGAGTTTTTTAAAGCCTACAGTTGACCTAGTTTTGCTCTCAGGAGTGGCTGGAATGTTTGAAGTATCATTTCTATGTACATTTCCTTATGTATTTAAGTTTCCTCGTTCTTTATTCTTCTCATAAAATTCTAATAGTGTTCATCTTTTTTGTAACTTCGTAACAGCAATAAAATCATTCAATAACCTTCAGAGCAATTTTCAATAATGCTTGGCAACTCAGTTTAAAAATAATGATAAATTTAACAATTCTTCTACTATGCACTATGTAGCTCATAAAGGATATGGTTGCCAAGCAACATGACAGTCAACTGTATTAATATGTTTCATAGTTTGTTTCCCTAGCCTGTGGCTAAGGTAGTCTGCTATATCATGGCACTAATGTAATTTTTCAAATAAATGTTGATGTCTAGTGTGTACAGCCAAACTAGAGGTTGACTGTGTCTTTAGTTCTACCGGTTAATCTTACTCAGTTGGGCCTCTGAATATTTGAAAGAAGTCTGTGGTCACTGTAATCTTTCACAGCTAATCATTGAACTAATCAGGCTGAACCTAAAAGATCTTTCTAAATAAAATTGTTGATTTAATTACAGGAAACAAAAAAAAACAACATGTGTATTTGGTCTTGGTTTTACCAATCACTGCCCAAATGCTGATGTTAGAAGCACTGGGAAGAAAAATGATGTACTCATATGTAAATTAGAAGAACTTTTCAGTGAGCAGGTCTTCTAGACTGGTCTTTCTTCTTATGACTTTCATTATACTTCCAAAATCCCAGATGTTGATTTAGCTGTTGACTGCCTTTGTAAGTCTTTGAATTCAGTGGTTAATACACCTTTGAAAATGTACAGAATGCAAAGTAGTTCAGGTTCCTGGTTCTCCACTGAAATTTTATCAATGCTTAAAGCAAGAAAGAAAGCTTGGACTCTAGCTAGACTGACAGCAATAAGCCATTCAGTTAAGAGCCCTAATCTTAGCATGTTTTGTACTGTACACTGTGTTGTTTGTGTTTGTGTGTAGCATAATCAGAAACATTTCCTGAATCTGTAGAGTCGCCCTTTCCGTTACATCTAATCATGAGATCGTACGTGACTCACATTGGGAGTTATGAGCCTATGAAGAAGGTCAGAGATACATGTCATCTGCCTCTCACTGTGTGAAATGGGTGGTTTTGTGTGTCCTTCGACATTTTGTGTGAATCCGACCAATGGACTCTCAGTAAATCACTAAGGACTGACCCATCGCACCAGAAACCCTTCATTCAATCAGCATTGGACCCACGTGAGAAATGGCATATAAAGAGTTTATAGCTGCTGTAGTTTTACAAAGTAGTGAGGGTCCATGGGGGTCCTAACCACTGAAGAACAGGGCAAAGATGAACAGATGGACTACAGTCTGTAATTGTAGAACTACAAAGTGCACCTATATAGTAAGTGGAGCTGATAAAATGGACAATGAGCGTAGAAACAAGGAGGTGGTCATAATTTTATGCCTGATCGGTGTATGAGTATAATGTTATAAGCAAAGAGCCTTTAAAGAAGGATTTCAGAAGATACGCATAAATCTAGAAAATGCCCTCAGACCCCAGAGGGTTAACTGTATTTACGGCATCGTGTTTGGTGGCAGTTTGCTTTTGTTTAGCTTATTTATTGCTTAAAGTAAACCGTCTATGTACCTCTGTCAGTTATACTATGGTTCATGTAGAAGGGCCTTGAACAGTCTGTCTAGTTTTATATGCATCATTTCGGGCAAATTCAACAAAAGCAAAAATTAGTTCCTATTTGGTGTAGCATTTGTTGGTGTGTTGGTTACAGCTATGCTGCTAACATAGGAAAATGAAGAACTTGTGTAGGTAAAGGAAGGACAGTGGGGGCATTTTATATGACATACAAACTTTTCTCATTCTTAGCGTAGGTGTGGCCAAGAGTTAACCCCTTGACGGACAGGGCCCGCTTGTGGGCCTAAAGTTTTATTACGCACTTCCATTACCTAAAAATAGCAGCCAGTTTACATTGTAGTCCCTGTAGTTACTGAATAATAAGCCTTAGTATGTAATAAGCCTGGGATGTTAAGGGGTTAGAGTTCAAACCTAAAACACTGATTTAACTAGGTGAAAGAATGGAGAACAACTACTACACAGGTACTGATAAATGTGTGTAAAATTATGTGTCATATTACCTGTACAATAGGCTGCATTGCAGAATTTTGGTTTGACAAACTTGTACACGTAGTAATTTCCCGGGCAGGCTTTCACTTGAATTGGTAGTGATTTGTAAAAGCAGCAATCACTGCCATAGCTTCCACAGATTTGCCGGACCACCACTCCATCTTGCAGGTTTGGGTGAGAGCCACTGAGCCAAAGTGGGATGTTGGTGCCACACCTGTTTGGACTGACACAGGTTTCTGGCATCTTGGTGCTTTGTCCCTGAGAGAAAAGCCGATACCAGCCCACCCAGTTTATATGCTTATCACAATTTGTAGAAGTGATGGAGGTGGTGCTTCTCCAAGGATCATGCAGGGCAGTATATTTCTGACAGGGATCTACGATGGAGTTCCTGAAGAAAACTACAAATGGAACATAAAAGGTTTTTTAGACTTAAGAAAAATGTAGTGATACCGGATAAATTGCTCTATGTGTCCTATATAAACAGGTTTTACCATATGAACACCATATAAACAGGTTTAAATACAAACCCTTCCATGTAGAGTGAGAGAGCGTTGAAACAGTTAGTCTAGAACATCTTCCTGAGAAAGCAATGCAAATAAGGTGGTAAAGAGGAGTCTTACTGTACCTGCACAGTATGAAGGACCAGGGATTGATACAGCTGGCTTAACAAGTTTATAGACGTAATAATTTCCTGGGCAAGCCTTGACTTTAATTTTTTTGGATTTGTAGGAACTGCATGTGGAGATTTGAGATCCAATTACTTCACGAGTTACAATTCCGTCTGCAACCTGCGGATGTGATTCACTGAGCAGCAGTGGAGTAACACCACCACATGTGATGTTACTGACACACCACTCAGACATTTGAGCACTTTTTCCATTAAGAAACAGTCGATACCAGCCTCTCCATTTTGCAAGGGTGTCGTCATGTCCTGTGTAGTTTTTGCGTATATTTCTCCAGTAGTTGTCCAGGGTATTGTAGCTATTGCAGGGGTCAGCGGAGTCTGCAGCTGTAATATATTGGTAAGTGAAAAAAGGTGTGAGACAAACAACAATGGCTACTGCCAATCTGCTGTAAACAGCTGTGATAAAAGAACAGGTGTTTCTCAACTGGGGCAACTGCGACAGCAACTAAACAGGATTCTTGCATTTCCTGACTGCTTTCCTGACTTTCCTGACTTCTTCTTCTAACTTTCTTCATTTTAGCATTTTTGATAGACATTTCAGGAGTTCCACACTTCTAAATGTTATTTAGTACCTAAATAGTTTTCAACCCTATTACTTTAATTTTAGAAAGTATTTTTAAAGCTGTCATATTTATATTGATTTCATCATGTTCCATTGTGTATATATTCTGTTATTTTCCCTGAATATAGATTGTGCACTCTGACCACACTGTTAAACAAAATCTGAAAAAAAAAAAAACCTAAACATAATGACAACTAATGTGTTTTCTGAATGATGGTAAAAAAAAACCTGTAAAATTACAGTTATTAGAAATATGGTCTTTTTTTAACAGTTCAACTCATGATTCTAACATACTGTATTATGATGGAAAACTACAGTAACATCCATTGATATAAATGCAAAGATCTGTGAAATAAAGGTGATCATTTTTGTGAATTTTCATTTCCATAAATTGCCAACAGCAGTGTTAAATTACAATACATGTATGGTTGATTTTCACGCACTAAGCTTTTATTTTTCAAAAATGGTTATTGATTAAATTTTGCAGTACTTTGACATTGGAAAGGTTATTTTTTTACTGTGAACCTCTGACAACAGTTCATAGCAGTTAATAAATGCAGCAAAAACTTCCAGCTCTAATGTATGCTATGTGTGTAGCATTATCAGTGTTATATATATTTATATATATCTTATATAGCATTAAGTATTATCAATCTTGAAATTATTATTTGTTGATTTAATCTCATTCATTTTAAACTCACAGGGTTTGGAAAAAGCATACACAGTTTTGATTAATGGAAAACTGCTCTCTAAAACGAAGTAAAAGTAACATTGAAAGTGAAATGATCTGATTATCAGACACAGCAGTGCAGATGCAAGAACTTACCATTTACTAGCAGCAGCACACACAGAGGGATTAAACTCCTCATCGCTATAAACTGTCTCCCACAATATCAAACTAGCCTGAAAGATACAAATAATAAAAAACAATGAGTCCATTGTAGTAAAAACATATCTATACTTGAAAGCTGCCAATTTATTAATGACTTTAGAGAAACCTAATTTTATCTGAGGCTGCTGTTCAAACACATGGTTCTTCTTTGACTTGCAACAACTTGAAGTACGTGTGTTTCCCCAGTTTTCCACCAGTAAACTCACTTATTAAAACGGATAAATTGGACACCATATAAACAGGTTTTAATACAAACATTTCCATGTAGAGTGAAAGACCGATAAAACAGTTGGTCTAGAACATCTTCCTGAGCAAGCAATACAAATAAGGTAGTAAAGAGGAGTTTTGCTGTACCTGCACAGTATGACTTTCCTCTTTTGTATATACACTGTGAAATCAGGCCTAATTATACATTTTTTTTTATATTTCACTTCATTGAATTCACAGTGAGCTAAAAATACATCATAAAAGTCAAAGGTACCAAGACAAAAAGCATAAAACACCTGGTAGGTTGAATGTTCTTACCTGTGATGAGTCACTGCAGATCAAGCTCCAAGTGTCTTGCACAGTCTAATGCTGATGATATGCAGCACCCTTTATATATCGTTTTTAGATCCATATAGGTCATCGCTGTAACCACGAAGACATTCCAACAAACTTGTTCTTCATTTCTTTCGAAGAAGTCTGAGAAACATCTTTGACATTCAGTGCACCTGCCAATCATGAATTTGAAACATTGAAACATATCAGATACAGATATTCATTTTCATTTCATTTGTGGATGGATAAATTCATTTTCGAACATTGGAATGTATTGAGTAAACACTGCCATATATTTAAATGAACAGTGATATACACTGAATGAACACACACACACACACACACATATATATATATATATATATATATATATATATATATATATATATATATATATATAATATACTTAATGGAAATTTATATACACTGACCAGACACTTCATCCACTTGGCCCACCTTGTAGATGTAAAGTCAGAGACTCTAGCTCATCTATTGCTGCACAGATTGTTGCTGAAACTTTGCCTGTCTTCATGTACTTCTTTAAAAAGGTTTATTGTCTTGAAATTTATAAATGTTAAGCCTTAAAAGTAATGAAATAGTGAATATTTGAATTTATGGGCTCTTAATTACAACATAAATATTAATTTCATTCATTCACCCAGCCTTTCTTTTTCTTATTTCTCCCAAAATAAGACATTCTGGCTCATTAGAGTCACATTTCTGATACAAAACAAAACCTCACACTGCCTTTATACTGACGTGCTACACTTACTTACTGGGACAGTTTATTACAGTAGTTTGTTGCTGTCTGACCTAAAGGACACTTAAACTAAAGATACCCTACTTAATATTGACCTCTGCACTTTCAAAATATTTAGCACTGAACTTCATATTTCATCTATCAATCAATGCTTTTTTGAATAAGAAAAGGATGATTTGTCCTAAAACAAAAAATAAATGTCATAAAAATAAATAAATAATAAAAATACATACCATAAAATGTTATAGAAAGTATTAAATGTAACTTTCTGATACATGTAGACACTCTGCTACAGCACTAATTTTATGTTTAAAACAAATTACGAGTAAACTGTGTTCCTTGAAAATCATCGTTTCTTTTCATGTTTTCCAGATAGAACCTTACAATTCTAAGCAGAAAGTGAGTTCTTAGGATTAGAAGGTTCTATCGGCATTTGACCTGTTCCAGAAAAAAAAGGCTTTTTTGGAAAAAATTTGGAAAATTGATATCTCAAAACTGCTCAAAACGCAGATAGAACCTTATCATTCCAAGGGGATGAGTTGCTATAGTTTTAATTCATCTTTCATGTTAAATATATGACATCTTTTACAACCCCATTTCCAAAAAAGTTGGGACGCTGGGCACAATGTAAATAAAAATAGAATGCAATGATATGCAAATCATGTGAGCCATATTTTTAAAGGAAAATACTATAAAGACAACATAACAAATGTTGAAACTGAGAAATTGCATTGTTTTTTTTGTTTTTTTAATATATGCCTTTATTGAATTTAATGCAGACAACATGTTCTAAAAAAGATGGGACAGGGGTATGTTTACCACTGCTGTAGTTTTGAAAGTGAAATGTTTTCCCATTCTTGTTTGATACAGAATTTCAGTTCTAGATTTCTTTTGTTGTATTTTTTACTTCATAATGTGCCAAATGTTTTCAGTAGTGCCAGGTCTGGACTGCATGGAGCAATGCTGTTGTAATACATGCAGAATGTGGTTTGACATTGTCTTGCTGAAATAAGCAGGGCCTTCTCTGAAAAAGACATCATCTGGATGGCACCATATGTTGCCAAAGTCTGTATATATCATTCAGCATTAATTGTGCCTTCACAGATGCACCCATGCCATGTGCACTAATGCCCCCCCTATACCTTCATGAATCCTGGCTTTTGAACTGTGCACTGATAACAAGCTGAGTGGTCTTTAGCCCAGAGGACACAGTGTCCATGATTTCCAAAAAAAATTCAAATGTTGATTTGTTGGACCACAGGACACTTTTCCACTTCCCTCCAGTCCATTTTAAGAGAGCCCAGGCCCAGAAGAGGCAGCAGTGTTTCTGGATCCTGTTTATATATGATTTCTTCTTTGCGTTTTAGAATTTTAATTTGAATTTGTGGATGCAGCGACAAACTGTTTTCACAGACAGTGGTTTTCAGAAGTGTTTCTGAGCCCATGCAATGATTTTCACTGCAGAATCATGTCTGTTTTTAATGCAGTGCCACCTGAGGGCCCAAAGATCACAGCCAGCAAATATTGTTTTTTGGCCTTGTGCCTTACATGCAGATTTCTGCAGATTCTCTGAAAATTTTAATGTTATTTTGTACTGTAGATGATGAAAAGCAAACGTTCTTTGCTATTTTACTTTGAGAAACGTTATTCTTGAATTGTTGCACTATTTGATCGTGCAGTCTTTCACAGAGTGGTGAACCCCTCCTCATCTTTACTTCTGACAGACTCCGCCTCTCTGGGATGCTTTTTTATACCCAGTCATGTTACTGACCTTTTACCAATTAACCACCAGGTGATTTTTTTTAGCATTACACAACTTCACCTGCCTTTGTTGCTCCTGTCCCAACTTTTTTGGAACGTGTTGTTGGCATCAATTTCAACATATGTTTTTCAAAAAACAATAAAAATTTCTCCATTTCAACATTTGATATGTTGTCTTTGCACTATTTTCAATGAAATAAAGGGTTTCAATGACTGCACTGCATTTTGTTTTTATTTACATTTTGCACAGCGTCCCAACTTTTTTGGAAATTGGGTTCTAACTCATATGTTGGTACACAGAATGGTTTATCGTACGCTTACTTCTGTACTTGGAAATGAGTTAATAATTGATGTGGATAGTTCAGTGCCTTTCATAAGAATCTGTAACTCAGGGGTTCCCAATCCCAGTCCTGGGGACCCCACACTATGCACGTTTTTTGTGCTTTCCCTCATCTAGTACAGCTGACTGTTGTGCGTCAGAGTAAGGAAGATACAACAATGTGCAAAGCGTGTCTCAATTCATCATAAAGACAGCTGTGATTACTGGTTCTTATGAAATCTAATTTTGTGACCCTTAAAGTAAAGTGGTGAACTGTTCAGACTCAATTACTGATTAAACACTGATTATTCATGATATATTTATAATGTTTCTGCCCCCTAAATTGATGAATCCTTACCATTCGCATTTCATCACTGATTAAATACTGATTCTTCATGATGAATTTAACGTCTTCTTAAGTGAGGCAGTTAGTTATTCTGGCTTTATTACTGATTAAATGCTAACACACTAGCGGTGTTTATCATCACTTACCAAAATGACAGTCGTTCTTTTGTCCTCACAAGAACAGCGATGAATGAAAAGAACAATATGGGTCATATGAAAATCGAACATTGACAAAATACTAAGAAATAAAAAAATACTTTATTATCATCCTATGACTTTTATGTTATATATATATATATATATATAAAGAACCAAAATGTTTACTCCAAATAACTAAGCACCAAACCAAACATTTAATATACTTAATAACAATATCAGCATTTGATGAACCGTTCTTTTTCACCATGGCAACAGCTGCATGTTTTACATGCTACTCTGAGAAGACATGAGGCACGAAAATACAGGCTAGCATAAAACTCACAACACTCAGACAGCTCAGCAATACCACATGTATAACACGTCACCCATGAAAGTAAGAAATGTGCTTTTATGCTGGACAAGATTGCTGTTCATTTGCTTGTCTTAAACGACTTAATAAAGATATGCACTCGAGACTCTACGGCTGCTTGACAAATAGAGACTTGATTAATGACTTGTTACTGTCCACAATGACTGCCACCTACTGGTGAAGAAAAATAACCGTAATGTTTGGCTGCAGAAACCATAGACGAGTTTCATTCCAATGTGATGTGTGTCCATTAATAAAAATTTTGGATATAACAAGTTTTTGAAAAGAATGACAGACATATAACGGGAAGCACATATTTATTTAACTAAAGGTAGTATACCAGTGTCTGATCCACTCGTACCAGCACAACACACACTAACACACCACCACATCAGTGTTACCGCAGTGCTGAGAATGATCCACCACCCAAATAGTACCTGCTCTGTGAGGGTCCATGGGGGTCCTGACCATTGAAGAACAGGGTAAAAGGGGGCTAACAAAGTATGCAGAGAAACAGATGGACTACAGTCTGTAACTGTAGAACTACAAAGTGCACCTATATAGTAAGTGGAGCAGATAAATCTGTCTATCTTCTCTGTAATATTAATTTCCCCAGTACTATCTTCTCCCAGTATTAATATTAGAATTAAATCAGGTCAAAGCATTGACCCAATTGCCAGGAGATCATGAGATGAATTCCTGTTATGCCACAGTCATCCATAGAATTCGGAAGAGTGCGATAAA